CTTTGAAAGATGAACAAAATGGTGCAAAAACAGAATATCAAGATAATATTGTTGAGTTTTTTTTATTTTTTTTTTCATGTTCATTAAAGAACTTTTATTTCTTCTCTCTTTTTTGTCTCATGCCTCTTGAGAAAAAAGAAGAATTAGAAGAGAAATTAGTCCAAATATTTTAGTTCTTTAAGAGCTAGCACATAGTCTGAATCATCTGTGAATCAGTGTGATGGTCACAGCTAGGTGCCAATAAGTAACTGGGTGAAGTTGGGCTTTTAGTTGCAGCTATGTTGTTTTCAACTACAATTGTCTTTTGAAATTAATTTGTAAACTGTACACAAGTCTTGGCAAGATCATCAAAAAATAAAAAAAAATAAAAAAAAAAATTTGCATATAAATTTTCTTAATATAAGAATTTAAAATCAGTAACATAAACTATTTTAGTAAGGAATATATTTGTTTTGAGTATAATGGAAGGTTTAGTTTTGAAGAATCTTTGAAAGATGAACAAAATGGTGCAAAAACAGAATATCAAGATAATATTGTTGAGTTTTTTTGGGTTTGTTTGTAATTATTGTTAACCATAGCTTGTTTTTGAGAATTATTTGATAATTTAGTATAGTTATTTAGAGTTTGTTCATATGAATTATTTGAAGTCTTATTATTATTCAAAGGTTTCTAATAAATAAAATATTAAGTCAAATATATTATATATATATATAGATATATATAATGTCATACCTCTGTATTATTTAAAGGGACCAATCCAATATTATTAATCAGCAAAGATAGTGCATCTTCTCTTTGTTAATCTGATAGTTATGCATAAATGTAATAAAATGATTTACTTCTGTGTCCAGTTAAAGACATTGTTATAACTATTAGTACTTTCTTTTGAAATAAAGATATAATTTGGTATTGAATGTCTAGAATGATTGACAATATCATGATTATTAATGTCAATTTCAACCATAGTGCAAACATCTTTCATCAAAGATTTGCATACATTTTTGCCTAATTAAATATTGTAAAACCAAGAATTTTGTACAAGATATTTTACTTTTTTATTAATATGCAAATAAAAAGATTTACAACTTAAATTCAATAGTCTTTTAGAAAAATAAAATCTAAAATCATATACAGGCCCTTGATAACCTTCCATATTATATTATATATACTAAGAGCTCAGTATAATTAAAAAAATAATAATCTAGACAAAATTTGTTTTAATAATATAAAGTTAATAATAAAATCTATTACTCTAAAATCAACAATTAACCAAGTTTAATTATTATATAACAAAGTAAAACCTAAGTTGAAAATTGGTAAAACCTGAAATTGAAAATTAACTTCTGTAAAATCTGAGATTGAAAATCAACTTATATAAAATCTAATATAGATAAAGTAAATTCCATTATTAATAATATCAAAATAAAAATTATACTTAAAACTTTAAATGAAAATATTTCAACAACTATTTTATCAAATTCAATAAAAATTTTTTTATTTGAATTCTATATATTTATAAAATTTAAATAAAAAAATTTTTATCAAATTTGATCAAGTGGTTGTCAAGATATCTTTGCTCAAAGTTTAGAAAAATTTAAAACATCTATTAAAATAGAAGTTGCACTAAATTTTGCTAAATATTTGAGCAAAGATATCTCAATAACCACTTGATCAAAATTTGATAAATTTTTTTTTATTTTAGTTCTATGAATCTATAGAATTCAAACAAAAAAATTTTCATCAAATTTGTTCAAGTGGGTGCTAAAATATCTTTGATCAAAGTTTTATCAAAAATTTGAAGCATATCTATCATATGATGAATATTTTGAAATTTTTTCAAAAACTTTAAGGGTAGGGTGAACGATTTCTATTTTTAGTAGTAATCACTTGACAAATATAGTAAAAATTGATTTTTATATGTTTTTACTATTTAATTTGCCTAGGTAGTACAAGGATTTGCCTAGGTAGTACAATATAAATAACATATGATCATCACCTGATTTCAATTGAATGTTATTGTAAAAAAATTTAGCAACATAATTGCTATTAGAAATGTAGATCCTTCACCCTACCCTTAATCAAAGATATCTTAGCAACTATATAATCAAATTTGATGAAAATTTTTTATTTGAATTCTATGAATCTATATAATTCAAATAAAAAAATTTTTATCAAGTTTGTTCAGATGAATGCTATGATATCCTTGATCAAAGTTTGTTAAAAATTTGAAACATATTATGATAGATATTTTGAAATTTCTTCAAAAACTTTAATCAAAGTTATCTTAGCAACTATTTGATCAAATTCAATGAAAATTTTTTTGTTTGAATTCTATAAATCTATAGAATTCAAAAAAAAAATTTTATCGAATTTATTCAGGTGGGTGCTAAGATATCTTTGATCAAAGTTTTTAAAAAAATTTTAAAATGTTCATCATATAATAGATATGTTTTAAATTTTTGACAAAACTTTGATCAAAGATATCTTTGCATACACCTAAACAATTTCGATGAAATTTTTTTTGTTTAAATTATATAGATTCATAGAATTCATTCAAAAAAATTTTTATTGAATTTAATTAAATAGTTGCTAAGATATCTTTGATCAAAGTTTATAAAGAAATTTTAAAATGTCTATTATATAACAGATATGTTTCAAATTTTTGACAAACCTTTAATAAAAGATATCTTAGCACCTACTTGAATAAATTTGATAAAATTTTTTTGTTCGAATTCTATAGATTCATAGAATTCAAATAAAAAAATTTTATCAAATTTGGTCAAGTGGTTGTTGAGATATCTTTGCTTAAAGTTTTAGCAAAATTTGGTATAGTTTTTATTTTAATAGATATTTTAAATTTTTTTAAACTTTAAGCAAAGATATCTTGACAACCACTTGATCAAATTTGATAAAAATTTTTTTATTTAAATTCTATAAATCCATAAAATTCAAATAAAAAAATTTTTATTGAATTTGATGAGATAGTTGTTGAGATATTTTCATTTTTAAATATAATTTTTATTTTGATATTATTAATAGCAGATTTCTTCTTATCTATATTAGATTTTATATGAGTTGATTTTCAATCTTAGGTTTTACCAATTTTTAACTCAAATTTTACTCTATTATATTATTATTATCACTATTATTATTATCTTACCTCTTCTTTTCAGTTATACTTACTTCAAAATATTTATATAAATAGTTTGCAACCTCTAATTCATTGTTAGAGATTACTATTATCTCTTGACTATTATTATTGTTATTATTATTATTATTATTGTTATTATTACTATTGCTACTAGTTTGAAAAAAAGTTTGATGAAAATAAGTATTAGTATTGCTATATATTCTTACTATCATGAAGAAAATATTAAAAGAAAAGACTTAACAGAAACAAAAATATATACCTTAGATTGTACTATTTAATTCTCTAATTACTATGATTAACATATATAGAAAAATTTAACAATTTTATTTGACTATTATAACAGAATAATTAATTTTTAAAAAAAGTACAATTTTGAAAATTAATATATATATACCTGTAGTTTAGTAATTAAACTATAGAGCTCTGTAAAGCTATATGTTCAAGACTACTAGTAGCTTGTTATATTTGGTACACTGTGATGATATTACTAAACTATATATACCCAATAATTTTTTTTTTTTTTTTTCTTTGATAACCTTGCACAAATTTATTAGATGTATATAAACTTAGACTAGCTAAACTATCTAAAATCATATTTGGCTAATACCCGGCTACTATAAAAGTGCCCAAGTATGGTTATCACACTGATGTTGGCCAACAAATCCCACATGTGCTACATGTATTTAAAAACTTGCTATAGCCTAGTACTCAGCTACCTTTGGCCTTCAACTTTTCCCACCTAAGTCCGGGCAGAATAG